TCCCAGCGTCCAAGTCGCCTACGCACTCACCAATCGCACTCCACATATGAAACTTACGAAAGGGGCATACAATTGGCTGCAAGAGCAAATACGCAAGCTAGAAAATATTATAATAAAGAACGACGAAGTAGAGTGGCTGGCAAAAACTTGTCCGTATCTTAGTACAGAATATCTTGAGTATCTAAAGGGCTTCCACTTGCGGCCGGACGAGCAAGTGGAGCTTACATTTACGCCGGAGACGAATGGCGAGAGCGACGATGTGGCCGGTGATATATCGTTGACGGTTAGAGGGCTCTGGATCGAGACGATATTATATGAGATCCCGCTCCTCGCACTCGTTTCGGAAGCCTACTTCAAGTTCGTGGACAGGGATTGGACCCACGATGGACAAGTTCTCAATGCGAAACACAAAGGTCTGGAGCTTATAGAGAATGGCTGTATCTTCAGTGAATTCGGCAGTCGAAGACGGCGGGACTACAAGACTCACGACCTCGTTATTCAAGGGCTTGTCGAAGCTTCTAAGGATGCCACGACAAATGGGAAGGGTTGGAAGGGCAAGTTTACCGGCACATCGAATGTACATTTTGCCATGAAGCACGGCGTTCAACCGATTGGCACCGTGGCGCATGAATGGTTCATGGGTATTGCGGCCATAACCCAGGATTACGCCAATGCGAACGAGCTGGCGTTGCGATACTGGACTGCAGCTTTTGGACGAGGCGTCCTCGCTATCGCGCTAACAGACACCTTCGGCAGTTCGTCATTCTTGAAAGCGTTCAAGAAACCCGCGGCGAAAAGCGGCTCCACCAATGCTGCCGACAGCTCGAAAGATCCGACGTACGCAGAGGTATTTACAGGTGTACGACAGGACTCAGGGGATCCGCTTGAATATCTGAAGCTTATGGAAGAGTTCTACTCGTCTCAAGATATTACGGACAAGAAAGTCATCGTGTATTCTGATTCACTCAATTGTCAAAAGTGCATTCAGTACAAGAACGCGACCGATGCAGCAGGACTCACGCCTTCCTTCGGCATTGGGACATTCTTTACGAATGACTTCAA